TTTTTTTTTTTCTCTTCTGAAAATGTGAGGAAATGTTCTTCAGCAAAAACCTGAAAACCTGAAACCTGAAAAAACCTTGCACCTGGAATACTGTTCTGGGCTCCCCAGTATAAGAGGGATGTGGAGCTTCTCGAGAGGGTCCAGCAAAGAGCAACTAAGATGATTAAGGGAATGGAACATTTCCCGTATGAGGAGAGACTGAGTGAGCTGGGCCTGTTTTCTCTGGAGAAGAGACGGCTCAGAGGGGATGTGATTAATATGTATAAGTTCAGGAAGGGAGAATGCAGGGAGGAAGGGGACAAGCTCTTCTCATTGGTGGCCAGCGATAGCAAAAGGGGAAATGGCCACAAGCTGGAGCACAGGAAATTCCATCTCCAGGTGAGGAGGAACTTCTTTACCGTGAGGATGACAGAGCCCTGGAACAGGCTGCCCAGGGAGGCTGTGGAGTCTCCTTCTCTGGAGGTCTTCAAAACCTGCCTGGATGCTGCCCTGTGCCACATGCTGTAGGTGTGCCTGCTTGAGCAGGAAGGTTGGACTACATGATCTGTAGAGGTCCCTTCCAACCTTGAATATTCTGTGATTCTGTGAAAAACATTAACTTTTAGAATGGCTACTGAGTTAACCTTCTTCCGTCACCGTGAAGTTGCCTTTCTATTGGAGAGCCTTGCTTTGTGGATAACCCTTATAGTAATTCATATGGAATAGCTTAATCCTACTTCTACGGAAAGTCAACAATCCCCAAATTTCTATTGTAAAGTTGCACACATGACTTTATATAAAACTGAAATCAATACTAGGTTACAAATTATGAATGTAATAAAAAGACCGCTGTGACTGTGCTCCAAATGTTTATCATTACCACCACTGCTCCACTGTGAAAGATGAGAGGAGGAAGAAAAGATACTGCTGCAAAAGTGCTTTTCTGTTACTGAATGTATTTCTTCCAGGTGGGTATATGTGCGCTTGTTGAAGTACCAAGACTAGGAAGTCTTTGTTTCATGAAAGCCTGAAGAAAACACATAATTCTGATGTTTTAGCTTGGTTTGTTATTGGAGATGAGGGGAAGGGATATAGGATATGAATTGAAAGGGCACTTGGCATGTTTCTGTGTAAGCCTTTCCAAACACATGACCGTATGCGTTCATGTGAACGTGTGTCCCCTACGTATTTGCTACGAGTGTTCGGTATCACATCTGGCCTGAAGTAATGGTCTTGATCTGTACACCTTACAGTTACTCATCCTGTGAAATAGTTGTTACTGTAGCTAGTTTTTTTGTTTGTTTGTTTCTTTTCTGTTTGTTTGTCTTTTGCCACGAAAGTAGAGTTGTTACTTTTTATGGTATACCTACGTATGGTTTTAACTTTTTAAAACCCTTTCAAAATCAACTTTAATACAGGAAAGTAGATAAATCTTGAAAAGATTATTATTATTATTTTTAGTGATTTATCAAGCTGGGAAGATTTGAAAAGTGTGCAGACAGAAATCAGCCTCTTTTTTGTGGCTTGTTTGTGCTGGACACTTGTAAAATTCTGGGCACACAAAGAGAATTAACAAGTTCTATCTCATCTTTGAAATGTTTCCTGATGCTTCCTGTGTGTCAAATTTGGCCACAASTTGTATTTCTCTGCAGTATGACATGACATTCAGAATTTGAGCGATCAGTAAATGCTACAGACACTGTAATGTCTACCTCATGTTTTTTAATGCTTGTATGCTGTTAGTAAGCAATGCTAATCTTTGAAATAGCTTTAAAAAGTTCTAATTTGCTGTGTAAATTTTCTGTGTCTAAATTAGTCTTCAGGACCCACACGGTGCCACCCTGTGCCACCTGCCCTAGGTGTCCCTGCTGGAGCAGGGGGTTGACCTAGATGATCTCTAGACGTCCCTTGCAACCTCAACCATTCTGTGATTTTGGGGCTTTAATATAGAAGATAAAATATGTAACAATCATTTGTAACCCAGAAATGAAGGTAATGCTTCTGTGAATGCAAAGCCTTAGAATTTTTCTAGGGCTGGATCACAAGCATGCATTTAGCTTCTTTTTTTTTTTTTTTTTTTTTTCCCCTGTAAAATAGTAACAAGATACAGAACAACATTTCTGCTTTGTTTTACAAGACCTTCTGTGACAAATGACATCTTTCTGTGGCCAGATGTATTTCATCTCCTGAGATGAGATTTGAGAATAGTTCAGAGCAGAAGTAATTGATCCATTTCAGAAGCTTGTGTTTTTCTCCTGTGAGCTTTGAATAAACTGTAGTGCTGTTTGATCATTTCATGAGATGAATTTTTTAAAGATTAACACTGAATATGTTTCAGAATATAACTTAAATGATTATGGGGAACATTAGCTCTTAAATCTTAGATTTTTGCAGGCGTGATGCAGCTGCAATACCTGAGCTATCTTGCTATGCATCACAAATGGTGTTCTTGAGAAAAATGGGCCAACTATTGTGACCAAATGTATGTAGTACTGCATTAATTGTTCGAAACTTAAAAGTGATTCTCTGCCTCAATTATTATTGCAATGTTTTAAATCTTTATCAACAGTTTGCTTAATATGCTGGAGAGACCAGTTCTTTCCTCCAGCCTTTTATCCTTCAAAAGAATTTCTGTTTCTCTTGAACACATAGACTTGATCACTGGAATTGCAAGTTGAGCAAGAAGAGATTTTTAGAGTAATAAGCACTATCATTTATCTTATTAAATATAGTGGTCTCTTTATATGCATTTTTTTAAACTTTGGATTCACTGAAAGACAAAATTTGGAACAGTGGATGTACATGTAGCATTCCTATAACAAGAGACCAAACTTGTGCTTCACTTGCGGAGTGGTTTCTGAAAGACCTTATATATGTTATTGTCTTTTGAAAGTCTGTTTTCACCCCTCCCATTCAGTTAGCCACTCATCTTTAGTTAGTTTGCTGGCCTGAGAGGTTGGTTGGTCAGTGAGGAAGAGTGGCAGGTGACCAGCCTGCATGGGGCACCAAGCTATCAGAAGGGCATCCAAGCCTTTCTGCTGTTCAGGCATCGCAGTTAAGTTCTCAGTGACCTGCTGTCCTTCTGTTACTACAAGTATCATTTTCTTCTCCAGCTTTCAAATATTTATATGACAGACCTTTAGCATGTATATTATAATATGTATATTTATATATAAATAAGTGTGTGTGTATATCTATACACTTGCTTATTTTAAGCTTGTTAAATTGTCATTACTTGAGCTGGATAGTTTTTGATGTTGCAAGAGATACCTCTACATGTAGCATTTTGAAAAAGGGTTTTGGGAAAGCTGCAGTACAACTGTTTAAAGGTAGTATATGAACCATACAGCAATTTTGAAGCAACTTATGACTGAGATATTGCAGGGTGCAAATAGCGTTTTGTTCTTACAGTGCAATTGMTGTATTTTAAAGCAAGCATAAAAAAGGCAAAACACTTGTTCAAGGAGAACCCTTCAATAATAGGGTAATTTTTCTTTTACTAACTGTCAGTAAACTTTTAGGCCATTTTAGTGACTTGTTCTGTGTTTATGTATTTAAAATTCATTTTATTTATTTAGATGAATAGGTTTGTCATTGCCCTTGTTTAAAATTTCAGTCAATCAATTGAGTGTGCATGGATGTATATAAGAAATATACTTAATATTTGAAAATCCAAATTTGAAAATCAGTACTATCACTGAAACTGATTTTAACGGTGGAAGATGTTTATAGTACTTTTTTTGAGGTTTGGACCTACTAGCAACTTATAAAAGAATGTTGCAGGTGGGTGGGCAAAAGGTTTTCTCTGTTTGGTGTTGTACGTCCCAAGGGCCTTTTTTGACATTCATTGTTTTTAAAATCAAGTATCAGTTTTCATAAGGAAAGTTGTTGGGAGATTAACTTTAGAAGGAGTCATAATACTGCAAAATTTAATTATAAGTAATCCTACTTCAGTACAGCTGACCATTAAATTTTAACCTTATAATGTGAATGTCATTTCTGAAAYAGAAACTTAACGGTTTGAACGGTGACTTTTTTTTTTTAATCCAAACTGTTTGCTAATTTACCGTTCTTTTTCTTTCCTTTGTACTTTTCATGTCTAATTTAAAGAAACAAAATAAGCTCCAAACTTCCATCTAGGATGAATAAACCTTTCAATGGAATTGTGAAGTTCTAGCCATGCTTTGTCACAAAGCAGCTCACGCTCTAGGGAGCATAGCTGGTCCTCTTAATTTATCCTGTGTACCTTATGCACTTGAGAATTGATGGGATTCCTTGGGGAAATTGGGACAAATCTGTCAACCAACTCCAGCTGCCTTTAGGGCACTTCTAGCCTTACAAGGAGAAATTAGATACCAAATAACTACCAAATAAGTATTTCCAGGAAGTGGTAATATTTTCAAATATGTCTGGAGTCAGGGGACTGTGTATATTCTTGCTGATGTGTTTTTATGGATAGTGGTTAAGGAAATGCCTTCTGCAAGTGTTAAATTACTTTTTCATTCTTGCCGTGATGTATTGGAAACTCTTCTGTGTCCTGAGATTATATATTAAAATCAGCAGTGGTAGATCTATTGGACCTTTACAATTTTCCATATGAGACCTAAATCCAATTTTAAAAGTCTGAGGCACCTGCTAGTGAGAGAGTGTGAATTTGCTTTTTTTATGTACTAATACTATGATTTCTTGGCTATSAATCCAAGCACTGGATTAGCATGAGATTTGAAGTACATATTGTTCCCCTGCAGTAGGTGAAATAGAGGTATGAAGATTTTAACTTTGTAATCATGAAGAAATTATATGGTTTATGTGCTTGATATTTTTCTTTCATTGCTGTAAAGAATAGCAAATTAGATATTGTAGTCCAAGGATACAATGTTACAGATGTGTTTTTATTATGTTTCTATGTTTGTCAATTTTAAATACAAGACATGCACTTAATCAGTTTGCTTTTCCTTCCTCCCCTTCAAAATATTCTCAAATACCCCCTCTCAAGAAACACTGTTTATTTTCTTTTAAAGGTATTCTCTGTTTTATAAACGCTTGAAGAACATTGAGGAAAATGAAGGAGGCCTTGACAAATTTTCAAAAAGTTACAAAACCTTTGGAGTTAACCAGTTCGTGGATGGTGGAGTGTACTGCAAGGAATGGGCACCAGGAGCTGAAGCAGTATTTCTCACCGGTGACTTCAGTAAGTGTTTTCAAGARCATTTTTTTTCTTCTACAATATATCTTAGATCAATATCCTCTTCACTTAAATTCAATTTTATAACTGGCAAAATTCTGACAGTAGAAGAGTGTGTCGTAGGGATAGCTGTGATGGCAACTAGTAATTTAAACTGATTGCTTTTTACTCAACACTGCACTAGACTAAGGACACGTCTTTCTATTGCAAGATACACTCATACTACTGACGATACTACGGACACTAAGAGGTGACCTTTTCAGAAAGGTCTATTCTGATTGCACTACTACTTTAGACTTAATGTGACTAAATTATCTGAGGTTCTTCCTACAGTTTTTCTACAGTCAGTCTTCTATAAAACCCTATGAAGAAGAAAACAATAAGTATTTGACTCATCTTCCATGGTGTCTGACCTAACAGTAGTGTTGTCAAACACCAAAACCCTTGGGATTCCTGCAGACCAAGAGAGGGTAAATGAATAAAGTCCTGCTGAAAAGTGATAGCCAAAAGTCATAGATGAGCATACCCAAGAAAGTAGGTGGTGATCTGTGTGAAGGGAGGCAGGAGGAATGATGTTAGCAGAAGAGAAGGAGGTAAGATAGCAGAGAGGAACTGTGCTACCTTCTCTGAGCACAAGGAGGACATTGCCTTGCTTATTCAGAACTTGAGGTGAAAATGTGAATTTCTTGGTCATTCACAATGTTTTCGATGCCCAGAAGTTGTCTTTGGAAACTCTTAAAAGCAAATCCGATAGACTTGTATATTCTATATATGTCTATTGACATATGAATATATGTATATTCTATATATTCTATAGAATGTCTATTGACATTCTATAATGTCAATTCCACTTTCTTTACTCTCTAATTTCTGTGCTTTATCCCCACTTCAGGGATTCTGTGAGTTTTGTCATTGTCTTACTAGACTTGGATTCTATTTGTGAAATAGTAGGGGACTTTGTTCATTTATCTGTGTATAAGAAATGTGCTGTGTTATTTTTCCAACTTTTGTTTTGTTGAAATACTAAGCTGGTAAATGCTTGGGGAAAAAAATATATAAAGCTAGATAGTTTCCAGACCTGAGGCAGTCGGCAACTATTTCCTGAAAGGTAATATTGCTGAGTTTTCCTTCTTCYTTATTTCTGTATGAGCAAACTATTRAAAGGGCAAATTCAGCATTTGCAGAAAAAACATTTATGAACTTGAAACTTCTAAGTGCTTACCTAAGTGATAAAACTTTTTACATATGCCGTTCACTATAGTGAATCTGGTGGTTCTTTTTAAAGTACTATGTTTTTGTAAAAATGTATGTAATGAAGAAATAAATGGATTACCCTGACAGTTTAATTCATAACTGTTCTTAAGATTCTTTTCTTTCAGAGGGGCTTTCCAGCACTCTTTAGTACTGTTTTTCTATACTCCCAAGGTGGATATGCTTAGTAACAAATATGCAAAAGAAATCTTTAAGTATTCACATTAGATTTTTTGGCTTCCAAATATTAAAATCATAAACCAGTAGCATCTACCTTAACTGGTGATATTTTTTCTTTGAGAATTTGAAGGGGGAGGGATTGGGCTCATTCTTCTCTCTGATAATCTAAATATTTAAGTAATTTGGCAATTCCCTCCACCCTCTCTCCTCACCCCCCAAAACCTCTTGAAAAATCTCTTTGGAAATTTATTTTTAAATGCAGCAGACAAAACTGAAAAGTAGTACAGCACTGTTTTTGTGCAATACAATTACCCTAGTGGGTGCCCTAGTGGCAGCTTTCATTGCAGTGCTACTTGTCTTTCTGTTGGAATAGGTGGTGCTGAAGTAGGTTGGAATTGTGCTTGAATTTCGGTATGGGAATCGGATCTATCRTCTGATTCCAGCAGTGACCAATAGATCATCATTACCTACTGAGAGTTAGATTACTGTAGTAATGTTATTTTTCAGAACTGATTTTAAGACAACGAGATGGAGGATATTTTTAGTAGCTAAATTTTCTGTGTTTGAACACAGAAAATGCTATTTCATCCCTCTTTCACACCTCCCTCTTTCATTTCTTGCCTCCTCCCCACCCTATGAATTATATTTTAAGATTGTTTTATGTGATGAGTATAATAGTCTGTGGATTAAAATACTCAGCAAGGTCCAAGAATAGAATACATTTGTTTTAAATATGTATTTTAATAAATGTCCTTTAAAAAAAAAGCCTAAACTTCACAAAGAGGATATAATTTGCAAATTGACATTTTAGAGTGTGTGGGGGGAAAGTACACAGGTAATAGAATGCAATAGTTAAAAGCTGGACTTATTTTTTCAAAAACTATATCTCATTTTAAAATATTTCATATAGCACATTATATGAATCAGAAATTTCATACAAATATCTTAGAATAGTTCTATCTAGACACTAATGAAATGTGGCAGTGAGAAGTCAAAAGACTATAAAGAATTTCTCTTTAATGTGAAAAAATACATTTGTCCTATATATCAAACTCATCATCAGTCACAGTAAAGTATTCATTCCCAAAGGGGAGGATAATGGACTCGGAAAGCCTAGAGGAATAGAAGATTGTCATTCAATTCAGATGAGCTTTAATAACATTCTGATGAGAAACAGGGTTCCAAAACCTTAAGATTTGGAATTAAATTGCTGTGGATATGTTTAATTAAAGCTGAATCCTTTTAACCTTTCTTTAAGTTTTCAAGCAGATTAAACTTCCTAAATAATTTTATGGCTATTTTGTGTTTAAGCTAAGTATTGAAACTGGATTTATTTATTTTTTTGAAAAAAATCRGCTTTATGACAAGCATACCTGAACCACTGCATGTTACACACAAGAAAAAACATGAAACTTAAAGGACAGCAACTTTTCAGTTTTTAAATTGAAATATAATAGCATAATCTCAGAAATATTACCTTATATTTTTATTTTTAACTTTTTTTTTGTGCAAAGTTGGCTAGAAGCTTTATTTATAGCGGTTAACTTAATCCAGTATTATCTGTGAGGCAAAAGTTACTTTACCAGGCAAGACTCTCCTCTTTTAGATTTTCATTTTGCTTGCGAGATGCAAAATCTTAGTGTTATTTAATTTGATAAGATAATGACATTTGAGAATTAAAAACTAATAAAAATGATAATGACAGGCCTAGATGATAATTTCTTTCAGAATTTATAATTAAGAGTAGTTCATAGTAATTGATGAACTGTGCTTCAGATAAACATTCATAATTTGTTTACGCAATTATATGCATGTAAGTCCTAAGTCTTAACTCTTTTTTTTTTTTTTGGTAATTATTTTCCTTTTTTTTAGATTTATCATAGAGGGCAAAATAAAAATATTATCGAGATACTTAGTGCTGTTTATGTTAGGCCATTGTTTTGAGACATTTGTAAGGGATCACATGACTTTTATCGACAGGATAATTCTAAGCATTACTGTGCTCTCTGGAAGAAGCCCAGAATCTAGTGATAGCACACGTGATCTTTATTTCCTTTGGTAAAGTAGAAAAAGTGTCTTCAAGAAAATCCCGATACTTTCAGAATGCTTTTTGTCTCTTCTTTCTAACATATAAGTGGAAAGAAAATGATTTTATATCTTTTGGTGTTCTGGTACTTTGTTTTACTCTCAGTCTAAAAAGATACTTAAAGTATTAAATGAACATCTGAAAACATTAAGATTTGTCAATTAGTACTTTTAGCGGCTCAGTAAATCAAGTGTATGAGGCAATTAGTCAGCTGAATTTCTGATACTAGAGGCAGTATCAACATTATAGCTACCTTAAAAGCGCTCAGTGATAACTCACTGAATATTTTATTCGCTTATTTTATTGCTGAGGAACCAAATGACTGGTGACAATTTATTACTATTTTAGGATCAATTATTTCAAAAAATAAAAAAAAGCCTCTGTTCATTTGAAAGGTAGAATAGGTTATATATGCTAAAACTACAGCTATATGCTGTAGCTMTATTAGTCATGTTTATGGCTTCTGTTTTAGTCCACCGTTTTTCTCTTCGGGGTGAAGAAAGAGGAACTTAAGCCTTGAGACTTGGTCTTGGATAGCTTGGATAGCTGAAATTATGTACTTAATATCTTTTATATATAAAAAGATATATATTTTTTCTATATTGGATTCTTTTGTTTTCAGACTTAAATCTTACCTATGTGCAGTCTAAAGAAAATGATACTGAATTTCTTATTCCTTTAGTCAAAGCTTTGTGAAATACCTAGGTTTCATGAGTAAAGATAAATAGTGCTATGATTCTGTGGCTGCAGAATACAGAAGGCATTGGACTGAAGAGTAAGCTGCTATTAATATCCAGGGAAGCATCAAATAGGAGAAGTAATGGCATTTGTTTTTATGTCAGTATTTGAGCTTTCTCTGTTAAATCACTTCTTAAGCAGATTATGTTAATGACCCTGCTATTGAACTGTTGGAAATCTTACAGTGTAGAAAGAGGAAGAACCAATTGACCACTAAGTATAACCTATGTGGTCCATAGTGAATCTCTCTCTCCGTTTATGCTTTGCGACTGTCTTCTGATTTTATATTCAGTCCCYGTGGATTTTGATGTTCATTTCCTGGTCTGTCCTGAAATTTGATAGCTTTTCCTCAAAGAAGCTGCATAAATGCTTGTTAGGTTCTGTAATCTGAAAACTAAAGCAGTAAAACTGAGGAAAGTCTGAACTTCTGTAGGAGACCTATTTTAGGATATTTGAACTGTATACATCTCTCTGCCTAATTCAAGACATTATTCTGTTACGTCCTATATCAATTTTCTATTGTGGGCGGGGGAAGTATTAAATTTAAGTAAGATGGTTTGGGATTAATGTTTAGTGAAGAACCAGAGACCAAATAGCAGAGGATCAGGCCTGAGAAGAGGGAAGATCAACAGGATCACATGGTGATATTGGTATGCAAAGGCAGAGGCATATGCAGCGTGATCAGAAACGGGTAAGCTGCCTGTGGAACTCGGTCAGACTCCTTGTTTCAGTTATGTRCTGTAATCAAGAGCTGCAAATCAGTTAGGAAAAGTTCTGTGGAAACCAATGAATAAGAGGAGATGCCTATAACACTTACCATACCTTGAGAGAGGAGCAGAGGATGAAAGGTTGCAGTAGTACTTCCTCTAAGGAGAGAATGACTTTTGACATTCATAAACATTTACAGACATTGTCTATATCTTGCCTCCTTTTTTGGATGTTTTGCCTTTCACTTCAATTTCTTCTGTGTTCTCATATTGCCAGAATTTTTCAACTTCTGACATTTTAGCTGTTCATAATTAAGTAAATAAACTCTTAGTAAATTTGCAGTTCTTTCTGGGCATTGAACATACGGTGACAACCATATGTTGGTAACAGAAGTTTAGGTAGTACTTCTGATGTTAGCATATGCATGAAGTAAAGTTTTTTTTTTTTTTTTTTTTTTTTTTAATAAAAAGTGCAGTTGTTCAGATCCAGGCATCATTTCTTCCAAATTTCTTCAGTTCCCGTGTTTATTCTATCTGAGTACCCCTCAGTCCTCATTTAATTTTAACTTTCTCAGTGGCTGTTGGATTACACAAAGATATTCTAAAACAACATGGAATTTATATGGTTTGTGCATAACACTACTTCTCACCTCCAACTCAATTTTTATACTTTTAAGTCCTCTTWGTACTTTAAGAGCCTTCAGGGACTGTGTAGCGGAATGGTGACCCTCTGTGTTTCTCTTTTGGGTATCTGAGAGATTTGAACCATTCATAAATTAAAGTGCCCTGCTATGACTTCTTTTAATTTTAAATCCTATATATATATATATATGTGTGTGTGTGTGTGTGTGTGTTTTAATCAGTCTCTGAAGTAAAATGACTAAAAAAAAATTTTGCAGCTTGGGCTCTACTTGTAATGACCTGTTGCTGTTCCTGCCACAGTAACATGTGTTCTGTGTTGACCAGCCTTAGTAGACCTGCATTTTTTTCCATTATTCTTTATTGAAGATTTAGAGTAAAATGAATGGGCAAAACTCTACTGATCCTACTTACAATACAAGCTATTTTGCTATTAATCAAGGAACAATTTATTAAACATATCTTTCTAATTTGAGTAATTTCTTCCTGTACAATCCAAATAGTCTAATAATGACAGCATTACTGTAACACTGAGTTAATCATGTTTCAGTTTGAGTATGGGAAACATTTTATAATAAAAACAATAATGCATCTTTTTTTAGACTTTGAAATTAATCTTCACTGTAAAATGAATAGTTACTGGAATATTTGCCTTATGTGCTTATATCTTCTTGTCCCATTGTCCAGTCTGAATTTGCACCTTTCAGATTTGTTCCTTAAAGAGGTAATCTCTCTGATTTAAACAGCTATATAAGAAAAACTAGCAACCTCCTTTGAAAGCAGCCTGATCTTTCTCGGCAGCTCGAGGCATCCATTTATTCTTAGTGAATGCTATTTTTCTGGCTTCACACAGATCACAGTGTTGATTAATGATGCTTATCAGGACATACGTATGCAGATGAATATAGGTGACTTCTTTCCTTCTGTCCCAAAGTAGTCTCGCCTAGCAGTGAGACTCTCCTGTGTGCAGACGTGCTCTGTGGCGCTGTTCTTAGCGGCCTTACGTCTCGGCCGTGTGAAACCCCTGGAGGTCGTTTAGTCCAGCTCAGTGCTTGGAGCAGGGGTGCTGCTGAGCAGCTGGCCCCGTGCTGAGGAACACGTGGTGAAAGGCAAGCCCGGCTCACTCACTCTGGGCAAGGTGCTTGTGTTACTGTGCGCTTGAGGTTTATCAAGTGTTAATAGAGTAATTAGTTTCAATTAGACTATACTAAAATAATGGAGAAGAAATGAGAGCTCTAATAAATTAAGCAGAACTGGTCAACAGGGATGCTATATAGGAATAACTGATTGGAAAAAAAATATATCTAGTAATAGCTGATGGGTGTAATATTCTTTGAAAGTGAAACCCWGAAACTTCTTTTGATCATTGTACTAAATAAATTTTTAATTCCTTAGGCATTTCTATTCCTTGCTAAAACTATTCCTTGTTTTTCCCTTCAGTAAGACAATGGTGAAACAAGTAGCTTTAAAACAGAAACTGCAGAATCAGAGGTACTGCCTTGTCCTTATGTGGCATTTTTTTCTCCCCATTTTGTGGTGAATCAATAAATCAGTATTCAAAGGTCTTGTGCATATATGCTCTGTATTCATAACAGGCATCTATATACTTTTCCTCATGTAAAGCAGAACAAACCCCAGTATTTTTACAGTGCCATGTGAAATAATCTGTTAAATGCTGCTCATGAAGTCTTTGGCTAAGCTTTCAGATGATTGATATGAAAATTTTTGAAAGTTGGTACAGCTTTACCCTTTGAAGGTCATGCCTTCATATTAGAAGCAATGACATCTTTTTACCCAGGTCTTTCCTAAGAACAAACCAGTAAAAACGTAGCCTACATAGGCATGGCTATGTAGGTTTGGGGTTCTAGTCTAGTTGCTACTGCCAGTAAAAGTGATGTTCCTGCTCCAGTGGCATGTGTACTTCACAATTATTATTTTACTGAATTGCTTTTAACATGAACTGCCTTTTAGTAATAATACTGTTTGTTTTACACTATCTTAGTCTGTCCGTGCAACTAGGGTTTAGGGTGTGAGCATACAGTTTATCAGTTAGCTGTATGTGCTATATCTACTGTAAATGTGAGGTCACTGAAAGCTATTTTTTTTCTTTGAAATCTAACCTACTTTGTTTACTGTAGCAGAGTATGCAGATGGGTTGGCTTGAAGTAAATGTCATGCAATTCGATTTTTTCAGAGCTGACTGGTTTCTTATTACCTTAGSATTTCACATTTCCTTGAGTTTGTGGGCTAGAGAAGATTCAAGGCAAAAAAAGAAGTGATTAATTTGGATTGCCACTTTCTTCTAGTCCAGAAACAATTGTTGTCTAAATCTGTCCATCAGAATATTTGTGTTAGCACTRAACAGTTAATGTTAATATATACAAATACAAATTATTCTTGGCAGTTGTGATTATGATTCTCTGATTAGACGTGTTGTAGTTCCTCCTGTTGTATACCTAGAAAACCTGATGGATCAAAAAGGTACAAAGTATCTTGAACTGTGGAATATAAGTATGTAAGTTTGGTTCAGCAGCCTTCTTTTTTTTTTTTTTTTTTTTTTTTTTTTAATTAAGAAGAAGGAGTCTTCCTTTAATATTTACTAGCTGTGACTGTCCCATGCTTTCCAGGTGTACTGACATCGTCTGGTACTGCAGCAGTTTCACAGCCATTGCTACCAACTTGGTTTGCAGTTTTCATTTTCCTTTCTTACTTTCTACAGTTAATGCATGTCGGTATTAATAGAATGTTAGCTTTTTATTTAAAAAAAAAAAAGAACAAAAGTATATTCATATATGTTTGTGTGGATATTTTAAACCTGCGAGGCTGGACAGCATGAAGTCTGTAACACTGTCTAAAAGTAGTTTGCTCATTCAGTTTGAGGTTGTTTTCAGTTGCATTTTGTCCAAACTCATCAGGAATTAATGAGATTTTTTTTTTTTCTGTAGTGTTATAACAAATGTTTCCACTATTTTTTGGTTTGTGTTTTGTTTTATTTCTTTTTTAAAATCTATTTCTTCTTCTATTTCAGATTTTTGGTTCTGGTTTAATTTGATGTTGAGAACTACTTTTTAGCCACTCAGTTTTCCAAGGAGAGGAGTGACACATTCTATAATCTCCATCTTTATCAGGTTTTATAATGACTGCTATAAATTTTTTAATTTTTCATTTTTATATCTAATGAGATAAAACTGGATACTGAAATATGTATGATATTTTTTGGAATTCAAATCACTATTTTTCTTTCTTTTTTTGTGCAAAGCAAAAGTAGAAAGAGGAAAGGAGAGATTGTTATGGCTTTGATCTAACCAATTTTATTGAGGATGAGCTGGAAGTATTTTTTTGTTTTGATTTGGATTTGGAGAACAGAATTGGAAAGCAGTCTCTTAATGAATATAATACACAGTTTATTAAACTGGTTTTGAAAGTGCACTACAGCATCATCCATAAGAGTGTTTACTGTCACAGACTTTTCTGGAAGAGAATAAAAATACTCTGATACCTTTTGAATTTTAATCACACATTTTTTTTTCGATAACTAACAACAATTAATGCCCTTTCTTGTATTGCAGATGGCTGGAATCCATTCTCTCATCCGTATAAGAAAGCAGAGTATGGCAAATGGGAGCTGTTTATCCCTCCTGGCGAAGATGGTTATTCTCCTGTGCCCCATGGATCAAAGCTAAAGGTGCTAGAAATACTTTCTCTTCCAAATTATTATGGACATTCTTATTTATTTTTCTGTTTTTTTAAATAATTTTAACTTTATTGTTGTAACTTTGATTACAGGAAGCAAATTTCAATAATTTATCAAGTTATGCAAGTGACTCCAATAAGTGAAATATTAACATCGAACCTTCTCATGATGGTTAAGAATAGATAAATATGTGACTGAAAACTTGATATAGTCTTGTATCTTGTATCATGTTGCAAGCTGAACACAGTATTTACATGCAGATGATACTATGGAAAGAAAAAAGATTTAAGTACATGAAGACGTCTTGTATTTGACACAACTAGCTGAACTGAAGATTCTGTTCAAATCCAGATTTCTTTATACTATGTGCTGCTGTTTGTACTTTAACCACTGTTTTTCAAAGATTATTCAAATTATTTTAAAATTTCTGTCAAACATCTAGGACGTTAAAGGAGATTAAGCAGTAGATGTTAGTAGGTTAAACCAAATGAAGAAACAGAAGGAAATTCATTATAGTTTTAAGCATATTATCAATTGTTTCACAAGTATCCACGAATATTATAAATCCTCTTTCTTCCAAAACTTAAGGGAAATATCTTTGAGCTGTCAGATACCACAATTGTTATGTCTAGTGCAGATATATATAAAGACAACTAAATATTGATAGAATTGATATTTCTAGGTGAATTCTAATCATTGAGATACATTTTTGAGAATTGGGAAACGGTAAATGTACTGAAGTCATTTAAAGATTAGGAAAATAATTTAAAAAAATAGGAATTCTAACTTTTGTAACAAAATGTAACTTTTAATAAATCTGTTATACTTCCATGGCTCCTATTAAAGGAATTAATAAATTTAAAAAAGCCTGAAACATTCTTTTGTGCTGAAAATCAGAGCTTAGGAAAACAAGGAATCTTTTGAAATGTTCATAAAAATCCAATGGAAATGAATACTCAAAATGGATTTGTTTTATTAGTTTTGCTTTTAGACCTGTCTTTAATGGCAAATCTATAAAAGTTGTTCTAAATAAAGATATATGTGGATTTCCTGAGACTCAAAGTTAATGTGATCACCAAACATGTCCATGAAGCTGGACAGTTATTCCCTCTGCCTATGAGATTGATTGCTTTTTAGTACCTGTATTTCTGTTTATTTTTATGTGCAGAAATTTGCACATAAAACTTGATTGAGAAACTTGATTGAGAAACTTGATTCATAAGTAATCATAGCAGATGATTAAAATAATGTATAAAATAGATAATCAAAATGGGCCTCACCTATATGGAATTCCTTCTAGCCTCACCTGTCACTTGGTTAATAGCTTTTAATGATGCTGTTTGTTTTGGTACTTGCACAGTGTCTGTGCAACTTAACATAGCAAACTATCTTCTTTTAATACTTTCATAGTATTAAAAGACTATATCTTTTAATATATTTATAAATTACACTTAAAGTAAAATAATTACAACTAAAATAAGTAAAGTAATTCTAAAATAGTTCATCTATCATGAAACCCCAAATAAGATTAGTATATTTAACACAATAAAAACATACTTTATCGTAATATCTCATGAAGAACTTGAGAATTTGGATGTAAACAGAAATTACTATGAAGATCAAGGATCTATTTGAGTAGGTAGGCACTGTTGTCACAGAATCATAATTTTTAAAGTTTATTTTTGCCAACGTTTAAGTTGAACTAGTCAACTCTAGACACTTTAGTGACTTGATTGATTGGTGAAAAGAGAAAGAAGGCACCTCAAGAAGGTCCTTGTCATTAGCTTCTGTCTTCAATATTTTCATCTTCTGTTATATGAAGGCAAATGCTGAGTTCTGAAATAGTGACAAGGTCATTTCTTTTACATAAGTAATTTCTAAGCCAGAATGGAGAATGCATGGAGTGTAGATGGTGACACTAATTTAGATGAGGTCACAAAATATTTTCATAGGAAAATGAGCGAGGAACAAAGGTCACAAACTTTTATCTTCTTTTGATAGTACTAGACTGTCTACTGCAGCTCTTCAGACAGTCTTCTCATAACTAAGCATAGACATTGAAGAAGGTGAGTAATWAAAAATGCTTATTATAGATATTTAGAGACATTTCTGTGTCAAGGAATGAATGCTTCTAACACAGTTGAGACAGATTCCCTTGTGAATCATGATATTCATTTACAAAATAAAATGACCTGATGGAAGAAGAAGAAAACAAAACAAACAAACAAAGAAAAAAACACATTTTTTTTTCTCCCCTCCTTTGGCTCAGGATTAGTGAAGAGCTTAGTCATTTGGTGAACAAACAGAATTTTGTTACTTCTGATGGAAATGTTGTAAGTGAAGCATAGCTTAAAAAAAAAAAAACATGGCCTTAAAACTGTGAAATGAGGGCATAATCCTCTCTGTTTTTAATAAAGTGAACCACTGTTTACCCTACTTCTTTTTTCTAATGAAGGTGATAGTTTGGTTTGTTTGTTTTATGGTGGCAWGTGCGTCACTAACAGTGGTGGTATTTGAGGGTGAGTGTGTTTATGTTTTTGCAAATGAAAATGATTTTTTCTATATTTTTCTAAGTATTCTTAATCTTTTATTATAGAATATAGCAAGCTTTTACAAAAATTCAGATGGATGGACTCCTTAGTATCATCACATGCTGTCATGCATTTGCAGTTTATTAATGACTCCTCCAATTTCTTTACACTGCTTATTTATAAATAATTCAAATGCTATAAATAAATAGTTTTTTCACTGTAGTGAAATAGTAAATAGTTTTTTCACTGCAGTTCATAAGATCCTAATTTCACACATATGAGTAGGTATTGATTAGTTTAAGAAGCCTTGCTTAAAGGTGCTGGTAAAAATTGAAGTATCTCTTTATCTGTAGTGGGGAACTTGTTAACTTTGTTATAGGAATAGTCTTCAATGAGGACCAAACTAAAAACATGAAGAGCATCTGGAAAAGAGTATCTAGTAAGAAGTTATGTACACATACAAAAAGAAATCCCAGTTCCTGACTGCTAATCAAATTATTAAATATTTGTTACAAACAATTAAGAAATTGTTTTCTGCTTGTTGTAAGAAATTGTCTTCTGCTCCAGGACAGAAGGTAGTTCAAAATACTAACTGCCAGTATTTTAGAAGCACTAACTCTTCTAGAGATCTAAATAGCTGAATCACTAAGTCATTTTATCTGGCAGTATGCCAGCTAGATGCATGACATTAAAATACTGTATACAGCTGAATCTTATCTGTATACTCATTATTTTTAGTTTAATGAAAGTATTTCAGGGTTATGCTTCTCCTGAGATACCAAGTTAAGTGTCTGAATTGCTGACCTGCCTCTGTAATGTACTTATACCAGTAGCATGGCAAAGAATAGGAGGCCATCCATAATATATCAATGAAGATTCAACTTTTTTTTCATTTCTCTTGGAAGTCATATTAATTAACTATTAATAGGAAACTCTCTGATTGTATATAATTTAGTGTAGATAGCTTATAGACAATTGATTTTCATAGTTAAAAATCAAAGGCAGCTGAAGTCTGTTAAAATAGTAGCATGTTAACATAGTGCTCTTTCCCTGCTATTTCACTCTTGCATGTTTCAATAGCTTGTGATTGTTTCATAATTCTCATTGGTACCAAGCTGGTACAGTGTTGAGGCTGACACTAGGAAGAGCAGATCAGTACAAATATTGACCAGATTCACCATGTTTGACCTTAAGTAGTTTTGTTGTCCAAAAGTATAATGTTAAGTGGTATTTAAAAAAAAGAAAAAAAAAAAAAGAAAAAAAAAGAACGAATGCCTGTTTTTGAGTGAGAACATTTAGAATACGGTAGTCTTGATAAGTGTTTAAAATTTGCATCCATAAAATCTTTGGGGGAGGATAGTTGATTAATTGTAAAGAATGTTATCCAAGGTTCATCTTCACAGTTTGTATTTATCTAGTCCATAATTCATAGTAGATTCATGTTTGACTTGAACTTGAAGAGGAAAGGGCTATGATTAGCAAGTATATTAACTAGAGCTGGGGAATCAATATTAGTAGATAGATCAAGGGTACTTTCTGTTGAAACAGATAGTGATGCAACTGACCTTGCTGATCAGGAAGTACAGTATGATTACATTGGACTGTTTTCAATTTTCCTGTTTCCTCCTCCATGTTGATGGGATGAGGGACAGAAATGTACTTATTCAAGTCTGTAAAGTTCCAAGTCATTTAAGGTGCATATCTTAAATGATTTCAAGCAGGGGGAAAAACAACAAATTTGAATGAACAAAGCCACAAATTTGATCAAAYAAATTGGTTCAAATTTGTTGATCAAATTTGAACCTGAATCAACAAATCTGGCTGTTGAATGAGTCAAATGTCTGCAGCAGRATGGTATATAATGATCTATATTGGTAGGTGTGTGGTGGAGGAAGGAGCAGGTGGGGATTTTGCTGACATTTTGAACATCAAGGAACTAGTCTTAAATGAGATGCACATTTTTTTCTCTTATGACTTAGACCTCTGTGAACCCAAAAAGGAAATAAGCCATTAGTTAAATGTAGTGTTGTTCTTTGCTTTGTTGTTTGCTTGCAGGTCCTGGCCTCTGAACAGGTTAGCGTAGGTTTTAGGGGCTTAATTTAATTTAACTGGTTACAGAAGGATTATTATCTCCTTGAGAGGTGAATAGCCCCCTGAGTTTGTTTACTAAAACCAAATAGGTTATGTGCAACTGCTCTTGGACACACAGGAGTGTTTACAGCAGCATTGAAATACTGGAATCAAATGCCTTGCGTCTCTTTGGAGTCTTTTTTGGTAGACTGAGCCCAGAATTTCCGAATATTTTTATTTAGTTCTTTTGGCAGCCTTAGTTCTCCTGACTAGATTGTGCAATTCTTGGCAGGTTTTACTATTGAAAAAATGATTTCCTTTTACCCATGCAGAAGATCTGTTGTTTTAATTCATATTATTAGTATATAGTGAAAGATGTTTCTGGAAAAA